TTTCCTCCTCGCACAGCCCCGTCCAGCACCCTGGCCTGCTCGGAGCCCACCCCACCGCGTTCCTGATGGACCTGGTGCCAAGTGATCCCAGACCTCCAGATGCGGGACTCTTGTTGCAAACAGTAGCAGCCTGGGGCTGCTTGCACGTCTGCCGGGGCCCTGAGAGTTATTTCCCCTTGGCATCCTGAATCCTGGCAAGAGGTGTCCTGTTTCTTGAAAGGTGTGGAATGACTCTGATCAGCATGACCCTGAATTGGGTGAGATGGAGAGTTCAGAGAAACAGGCTTTGTTGAGTCTGGTGGGAACAGAGCAGCAACACCAGACACAGAGCTGCAAAGTCATGGAAAGTGAATCATGGAAAGATTGGAACTGAAGAAGGAGGTGTTGGGGTGTGATCACTCTGACCTTTAAAGGCTCCCTGTAGTTGCCTGCTGGAGATAGGGGAAGGGGGGGGGGTGACAGCAATAGTACCGATGTATATGCTGTTGGTGCTGGACAGAGAAGTCCTGGGAAGATAAAAAGAAATAGTCAGCTACTGGATCTGTCTAAATCGTGCTAACTAGATTACCTGATGCGGAGCTGTGAGAGAAACAGTAACAAGGCTGGCCCTATGTCTTTGGATGTGGAAGCTGGCGTGCATAGTATGTCTCATTGGAAGCACAGTGAGTTGGGCTTTACAGGCCAGAGTTGTGCAGCATTACACTGCCAGTTGCAATACCTTCATCCTATATCAGAGCTCCACTTGAGTTCTGGCTACTGTTTCCAATACAGCTGCCTGCTAATGTGCCAGGGAAAGGCAACAGATGGCTCAAGCACTCTGGGCTCTGCCACTCACATGGGAGACTTGGATGGAATTCCTGGTTCCTGGCCTCAGCCTGGCCCAAACAACTGTAACAGTTATTTAAGAAGTAAACCAGCAAATGAGAGGTCTGTCACTGTGCCTTTCAAGTAAATACAAAGTTAGGCTTTAGCCTTGTTGTATTTGTGCTGTCCCAGAGATTGCTGAATGGAAGTGTCAAGTCCAGGTCCAGACTGGAGACATCCAGAGGGTGGAGGCTTGTGTGGATGCTGCATGCAGCAGTGTGTGGTAGGTTTTGGATGATGATGAGACCCTTAAGCAGAGAGCAGACCTAGAATTAAAAAAATAATAAAGCATAACGCTGAAGTGACACAGTGGGATGATACAGCTGTATCACTGCAGCCCATCAGGCTTCTATATCCAACTTTCTTGGGGCCTGAGGCATTTACCAGACCAGTGAGCAACAGGAACAGGAAGGGTCAGCAGTGATAACAAGCCCTACATAGGACTTACACATAGAATGGTGTACTAATCTGACCCATAGATAGTCCAGCCTCTCCACCTCCAAGCCACCAGGTCTCAGTCCCCTCGCTTACCTGCAAGTACAGTGACCCTGTTATTGGGAATCCCTCAGGATTGATTCCTCACCGACATGCAGTGGCTTCATTCATGGATGTCCCTAGGCAGCAATTCCACACATTCCAAAGCCCTAGAGCTCACAACCCCAGGACTTGCTCACCACGTGGCAGTGGTGGCTGTGGCCAAGGCCCTAAGCATTGAGTACAACTTGGCTTGGGTACCCCCAGCAGCTGTCAGGCTGCTGGAAGCTCCCTCCACCCAGGTCCAAAGGTCAAACTCTTCCAGGTTCCACCCGCCACAAATGGTGGCAGTGGGTGGAGCCAGAGCCCACCCTTGCTCCCAAGAGATTCCTTCACAGCATACTCACTGCAAAGGGAGAAACCTCTTGGGCCCAGGCAAGCCCAGGACTGACTCACCATGTGGCAGCGGTGGCTATGACCAGGGCCCCAAGCATTGAGTCTGACCTGGTTTCGGTACCCCCAGTAGCCACCAGGTGAAGCTCCCTCCAACCAGGCCCCGAGGTCAAACTCCTGTATAGGTATGTAATAGTTGATATTTCTTTTTTTTTTTTTAAGATTTATTTATTTATTGGAAAGTCAGATATACAGAGAAGAGGAGAGACAGAGAGGAATATCTTCTGTCCGATAATTCACTCCCCAAGTGAGCGCAACAGCCAGAGCTGATACTATGCCGATCTGAAGCCAGGAGCCAGGAACTTCTTCTAGATATCCCACAGGGTGCAGGGCCCCAAAGCCTTGGACCGTCCTCGACTGCCTTCCCAGGCCACAAGCAGGGAGCTGGATGGGAAGTGGAGCTGCTGGGTTTAGAACCGGGAACCCATATGGGATCCCGTTGCGTTCAAGGCGAGGACTTTAGCCGCGAGGACTTTAGCCACTAGGCCACGCCACCAGGCCCCTGTAATAGTTGATATGTCATGGTATTCTTTTAGATGCAGAAAGAACGCACTTACATTCACTAGTTCATTTCCAAATGCTCACCATGACTGGGACTAGGTCAGGCTGAAGCCAGGAGCTGTGAACTCAATCTTGTATCCCACATAGGTGGCAGGATTTCAGCTACAGTTGCCTCCCAGGGCATTTGTCAGCAGAAAGTTGGAGCTAACGGAGAGTCAGGAATCAAACCCAGGTACTCTAATGAGGCAGGCAATCATCTTAACGCCTTTAGAGATGGACACGTAGATTAGTGTGGCAAAATAGAAAAACAAGAAAAAGATTTGCACAGGTCCAACCGAGTTTTGACAAAGGTGCAAAAAGTAATTGAGAAGGGTTTCAACACAAGGATCCCCATTCATTGCTCTTATCATAGCTGGGCACTCTCAAGAAAGCCTGTCTTTTAGAATGTCAGCTCCATGATGGAGGTCTTCTGTGCACCTTATCCCTGCTGGAACTGTTCAGTGCCCAGCACAGTTTCAGTTCTCACAGCATGGAATGAGTGTGTAAAGATTGTTAACTTCCACAGGGAGAGGCATGCTAACCCTCTTTCTCCATAGTGTCCTTACTCAGGCCCGTCAGCTATATTGGTGCGGATGTGCTCTGAGCCCAGTACAGGTCATGCAGAGTAGCCATATACTCACTCAACATGTAATACCTACAGGCACAACTGGATCCAGGATTAAATGAGATTAAAAGTACTTTTTAAAATGTGTAGTTTATTTGAAAGACAAAGGCAGAGACACAAACTTACATCAACTTGCTCACTCCCCAGAAACACCTGCACCAGCTAGGGTTGGGACATGCTAAAGCCTGGAGCCCAGAATTCAACCCAGGTTTCCCTGTGGGTGACAAGGACCCACATATTCGTACCATTTACCTGCTGTATCCCAGGGTGCACTTTAGCAGGAAGCTGTAATTGGAAGCACAAGAGAATGGACTCAAACCACAGAATGGAAGCACACCAAGCAGCATTTTCACTGCTGTCCAAGGACCATCTCTTCTTGTCATTTAAGTATCTCTGTTGGTTTACTCTGCAGGCAGATCTCTCTTTTAGAAAGGAAAGACGATTGCTGCAGGTACAATGCCCAAATCTGGCACATGAACTCCTGGGACAAAGATGGTCCTTTTCTTCACATTTCCAGTAAGTCCTTTGACTCCCACTAGCATGTCTTAGGTCACATGAACACCTATGCCCCAGCATTACAACTTCAGGTTCAATACTGTGATGACCAAGCTGGAAGCAGGTGGATGATCAAAAGTTGATGAATAAACAAGTGGATGAATGATCAGCTAATGGAAATACTTCCTTTTCCATAGTTATTAGCAATGTCCTCTTCAGACTTTTGCCCATTTCTCCCATCTACTCTGGTCACTTTGATTATGATTGCTAATTAGTGATTAATTATGATGATGGTCACTTATCAGGGTGCTATATAGAGCTTGGCTTTAAGAATAAAAATGCTCTACATCAAGTAGATTGTTTTGGACTAAATGTGACCTCTGAAAATTATAATGCTAAATCCCTAATTCAGAAGTCTAGGCTGAAAGAATTATCAAGCCCCACCCAAACTGGTACCCCAGGCAGGTCAAAGGACCAGAGTCACTGGGCTTTGTTTTGGCTTGCTTTTAGGAGAGCACATTATCCTCCACCAGTTCCAAGAAACACAAGACAGCAGTTCTGCCGGAAGTACAGGGGACCCCTAACTCACTTACCAGGATTGGGGCATTTTATGAGCTAAGCATAGCTAATTACATATGGTCCAAAACACAGCTGTAATTGCCCTCCATGACTCTGCGCCCACAAAGATCTGAGGTAGGAAGCAGGAACATGACACCTAAGGAAGACGACCAAAAAAAAAGGGAAGGCATTTATTTTATGGTGTTGGGGAGAAATTTAGCAGACTGCCTCAAACTCCCCTGATTGTTAGACTGATTATTTGGGTGTGGTCATCAACTGGATGGCCAAGAATCTCCCTACGCAACAGCAGCAGCAGCAACAGCTATGACATTAATCACAATATGTGTGACTGACTGAGCCCTGTGGTCCCTGTATCTGGAGTATCCAAGGAAACAGGACCAGAAGAAACATTCAACATACAAGTTTTAAATGACAATTTGCCTTGAAAACTGTCAAAATCTTTTAAATCAAAGGGCCCAACAAATCAGATCTGGATCTTTACATTAATGCTTGGAGAGACAGCCCTGCCCATGTGGCATGGCAGCAAAAGCCAAACAATAATAAAGGATGGACACATTACCAATACATGCAGGTGCAGTGACTGGGTTACAAAAGTCACATTGCAGGACCACAGGATCTTATCTTTCAGGCCCAGAATAATGGTGAGCAATCCAAAAAGGCTACAGGAATTCAGAAAACCTGTAGGTTATTTGCCAGCAGTGACCTTGACTGAGGAAAGCTCTGGAATCCTTACCTTTTGGAACCACCGTTGCTGGAAAACTTGTGATGTCTCTTTAGCACTGGCCAGCCCTCCAGTTTACCAGACTCCGGTCCGTATTACTTCACAGTTTTTCTGTGCTCACTTACTCTGTCCCATAGGTCTTACCAAAAGTCTAGATTTCAGGGGACTTAGCTTGAGCTGATTCTGGAAACAGCTTCTTCTTGCTGGAGGTTGTAGAACATTTCCTGGAACAAGGGACCAAACGGACATGACAACTATCACAGGTAGTACTGATGGTATCCATGAACAGGAAAAGCTTCCCTACAAGTAAGTCTCCCACTCATCCCTGACCAAACACCAGCTAAGCTCCTCTTAAGCCAGAGCTGAGTCATGTCCCCACCTAGACCAGTAGCAGGGAGGAAATGAGGTCCACTACAGGCTCCATTAAGTCACAATTTTCTCCTATTTAGAAGAAGGGAGCATGAATTCTACCACCCCTGAATATATCATGGTCACTGCCAGGTATGGTAGTGGGATGTCTTAAACAGAAACTGAAAGTGACAGAACCATGGGCAGGCCAGAGAGTGTAAAATAACTCCCTAGAAGTTTCCATATCCTTGGCAGGCCTGTAGAATATGGTATGAGCTTCAGCTTTTCTTTCTTTAAGATGGCACTCACAGACTACTCTCAACTGCCTTTCCAAAAGGAGCCCCTTTGTGTCAGCAAAGGTCAGCCACAGGCTCTCCTCCAGCCTTTCTCCAGAGTGGGCCTTCTTGTGCTGAAGGAGGGTAGAGCTACGTTTGAAAGCTTTCCCACATTCTGCACATTGGTAGCACTTCTCTTCAATGTGAAACCGCTGATGGTGACTGCAGTAGCACCGAGTAGTGAAGGTTTTTCCACATAGGTTGCACTTGTAGGGCCACTCCCCAGCGTGCAACTTCCAGTGCTGATACAAGCCGGAGTGGGTCACACAGCTTTTTCCACATTGCTTGCACTCAAATGGACTTTCTCCAGTGTGGACCCTCTGGTGGAGCATGTAGCTGTTATTGTATTTAAAAAACTTCCCACATTCCCTGCACTCATAGGGCCTTTCTTCAACGTGAACTTTCCGGTGCCGGATGAGGGTGGACAGAACACTGAAGGCCTTCCCACATTTGCAGCACTCATAAGGCCTTTCTCCAGTATGGATCCTCCGGTGCAGAATAAGCACATCTTTGCGTTTGAAGGTTTTCTCACATTCACTACATTTGAAAGGTTTTATGCCTGTGTGAACCTTCTGACGCTTCCTTAGTTTAGATGGGGAACTGAAGGCTCTCCCACACTCATTACACATATGGGCTCTTTCTCCTATTTGAATTTTTCTGTGATTAATAGGAGTTGATTTTTTTTTTTTTTTAATGACACGTCTAGCTGTTGGGCTTCTGAAGGCTCTTCCTCCAGAGTGACTTATGAGGTGCTTGAGGAGAGCAAAGGTTTTCTGAAAGACCTTCCCACACTCACTGCACTTGAAAGGGCTCTGTGCAGTGGGGGCTACCTGCTGCTGCACAGGATCAGTACTGAGTGGGAAGGCTGCTCCAAGCTCAGTGCTCCCATGTAGCTTCCCACCTACAGGGGTGGCCTGGGGCTGGGTAGGGTCTGAGGTGACTGGGCCATCCTTCTCAGACTCTCCATACATCAAGGGTGTCTCGGACAAGTGGACTTTGCAATTCTGCACTTGCTCAGGGGAAGCTTCCTTATCTTTCATTCTATTCAGACAACCTGAAAGCAGAGAAAAGTCAGTTATGAAGGCTTGCAACAGGGAAGGAAGTACCTTCATCAGTACTGCATGTTAAATAGAGTAGCCCGGCACGGTAGCCTAGTGGCTAAAGTCCTCACCTTGAATGCACCGGGATCCCATGTGGGCGCCGGTTCTAATCCTAGCGGCCGTGCTTCCTCCTATCCAGCTCCCTGCTCGTGGCCTGGGAAAGCAGTTGAGGATAGCCCAAAGCCTTGGGACCATTAAACCACGTTACATGGCTGATTCACTTCCCAAGTGGCCACAGCGGCCAGGGGCTGTGCCAATCTGAAGCTCAGCTCCAGCTATTGTGGCCATTTGGGGAGTGAAATAGTGGATGGAAGATCTTTTTGTTTCTCTTCTTGATAAATCTGCCTTTCCAATAGAATAAAATCTAAAAAAAGCAGCCACTTGGGGCCAGCATTGTGGTGCCATCTGTGACACTGGCATCCTTTATCAGTTCTGCTTCTGAAGTAGCTCCCTAGAAGCACACCTAGAAAAGCAGGAGATGACTCAAGTCCTTGGGTCCTTTCCTTCCACTGCATGGATGTCTCCTCTGGCTCCTCGCTTCAGTTGGACCCAGGCTCAACCACCTGGGAAGTAACAGTGAGGCGAAGGTATCTTTTACTCTTTCTCTCTTATATAAATTGGATTTTCAAGTAGTTTTTATTTATTTTTTGTGGGAAAGTCAGATTTTTACAGAGAGAAAGCTCTTCCATTTGCTGGTTTACTCCCCAAGTGGCTGCAATGGCCAAAGCTGAGGTGATCCAAAGCTAGGAGCCAGGAGCTTCTTCCGGGTCTTCCAAGTGGGTGCAGGGTCCCAAGGCCATAGGCCGTCTTTGACTGCCTTCCCAGGTCACAAGCAGGGAGCTGGGTGGGAAGTGGAGCAGCAGGGATACAAACTGGCACCCATATAGGATCCTAGGGCATGCAAGGTAAGGACTTCAACCACTAGGCTATCATGCCGGACCACCATCAAATATTTTTAAAAGAACACGTCACTTAGTACTAACAGGATATGCATTATCCTATACTTATGGGACTTCTCCAGATTGCACTTCTTGCTAGGAAAACAAAACAAGCTTCAACAGATTTCAGCGTGTAGAAATCATATAAAGTATGTTCTCTGTACACACACACGAAAAATTAAAACATACATTGGAAACAGTAAAAAAGTTGGCAAACTCACATATTTATAAAACCTAAACATTCCTAACTAAGGGCCCAACCAAATGGCTCAATTGGCTAATCCTCCCCTAGCAAGCACTGAGGTCCCGAATGGGTGCTGGTTCATGTCCTGACTGCGTCACTGACTACAGCTATGTTGATAGTCAGCTCTGTTTTTTTTTTGTTTGTTTGTTTGTCTTAAAGATTTATTTATTGGAAAGGCAGATCTACACAGAGGAGAGACAGAGAGAAAGATCTTCCATCTGTTGATTCACTTCCCAAGTGGCCACAACGGCCAAGAGTGAGGAGCTTCTTCTGGGTTTCCCACGCGGGTGCAGGGTCTCAAGGTTTTGGGCTGTCCTCTATTGCCACAAGCAGGGAGCTGGATAGGAGGGTGTGGAGCATTTGGGACATGAACTGGTACCCATCTGGGATCCTAGTGCATGTAAGATCAGCATTTAGCCACTAAGCTATCGCACCAGGCCCATTTAAGTAAATCTTAAAAAAAAAACTTTTCTAAATAAATAGCCAATGACTAAGGGGGAAAATCACTTCGAGAGGAATGAAAAAATGCCACATACCAAAAGTTCTAAGATGCACCAAGAACAATGCCTTGGGGAAAAATTATAACTATAACTAGTTATACTTAAAAAATATTGCAGGGGCAGGTGTTTGGTGCAGCAGTTAGGGTGCTGTTCGAGGTGCCTGCCTCCCATAGCAGAGGGTCTGAGGTCAAGTCCTGGCTGAGCTTCCAATTTTCGCTTCCTGCTAAGATTTCTGGGAAGAAGCAGGTGATGATTCAGTACTTAGTGGGACACGTGGATTGAATTCAGCTCTCCTGGCTCAGGTCTGGTGAACCAGGTGATGAAGGAGCTGTCTGCATCATCCTCTTCTCTCTTCCAAATAAGAATAAATTATTTTTTAAGTTCTATAACCTCATGGAGCAAAAACAGAAAAGTAAGTAAATCCAAAGCTAGCACAAGAAAGGAAATAATAGATCAGAGAAGACATAAATGAAACAGATTGAAAAATCAGAATAAGGCCAAAATTTGATCCTTTGACAAGATCAATATGGGGCAGGCACCATGGTACATCAAGCTAAGCATTCACATGCAGTGCAGGCATCCCACATAGGCGCCAGTTCAGTTCTCACTGCTGCTCCGCTTCTAATCCAGCTCCCTGCTAACTGGGAAAGCAGAAGAGGATGGCCCAAGTCTTTGTGTCCATGCACCCACATGGGAGACCCAGAAGAAGCTCCTGGTTCACAGTTTCAGACCAGCTCAGCTCTGGCCATTGAGGCCATTTGGGGAGCCAGCAAGATGAAGAGCTATCTCTCTATCTCCTTCCTCTCTAATTCTGACTTCAAATAAAGTAGTTCTTTTTAAGCAAATGTAAAGCTCAATAAAACTGACAAAATTTATCTTGTCTAATGAGATGGAGAGAAAAAAAGGGATCTGTGAGAGTGGTGCTGTGGCATAGTAGGCTAAGCCTTTGCCTGTGGTGTTGACATCCCGTATGGGTGCCAGCTTGAGTTGCAGCTGCTCCACTTCCAATTCAGTTCCCTGCTAATGTGCCCAGGAAAGCAGCGGAATATGATATGCTTGGAACCCTGCATCCAAGTAGATGTGGAGAAACCTCCTGGATCCTGACTTCGCATGAACTCAGCTCTAGCCACTGTGGCCATCTGGGGAGTGAACCAGTGCATGGAAGGTCTTTGTTTCTCCCTCTGTTACTCTGCCTTTCAAATACAAATATCTTTTTTTTTTTTTTTTTTTTTTAAAGAAGGGCAGGGAGAGAAAACTCAGTTAACTACAGAAAAGAATTATTTTGTTGTCATGGTGAGTTGTAGGCTGGAGCTATCCCAAAAGTGGCAGCAAAGGAGGTCCCACAGGGCCCAGCGTGGTAGCCTAACGGCTAAAATCCTCACAATCCATGCACTGGTATCTCATATGGGTGCTAGTTTGTATCCCTGCTGCTCCACTTCCCTCTCAGCTCCCTGCTTGTGGCCTGGGAAGGCAGTAGAGGATGGCCTAAAGTCTTGGGCCCCTGCACCCACGTGGGAGACCTGGAAGTGGCTCCTGGCTCTAGGCTTCAGATTAGTTCAGCTCTAGCCAAGGCGGCCACTGGGACAGTCTTTCTCTCCTTCTCTCTGTAAAATCTGACTTTCCAACAAAATATAAATAAATTTTTTTTTAAAAAGGGAGTTCCCACAAAGGAGTACCCCAAAATGTCCAAAGATGGGGCCGGGTGACATCCCAAAGATTCACTGACCACCAGAGTCCAACAAAGCATTTATTAGGAAAACTCAGGCAGAATGCCGCCCCGTAACCTTCAGTGGGCAGTGAGAGAGAAGTCAACGTGCAACGTGTGCGACTTACTCAGTGAGCTGATGAGCACAAAGTTCTCCAGCATCACGTCGTGGTACAGGCTCCTCGGGGGACCACTGAGCAGCCCCCACTCCTCCTGGGAGAAATACACAGCCACATCCTCCAGCCGCACACGCTCCTTCAACAATGGGTTCAATGGCACCTAAGTGGTTGATGTGGGCAGGACACTCAGTGTCTCAGGGGTCTGTCACATCTCCCACTGATAGTATCCTTTCTTAGGAGCCAAACCTTTCCCTCTCTGGCCACACACAGACCATCATAATTCCCTTCTCCCAAGGCCTCAGAACAACACCAGGGCCCATGGTGACACTGATGCCTCCCTTAGCATAGCAACAGGCTGCTGAATGGTGTCTGCCTGCTGCCCTCCCGTCCACCAATTCCCACCGAGCCCCGGGGATCAGCCTCTTAGACAAAAACCTAATAAGCCTACCCTCCTCCCTGCCCCCTCTAAGAACCTTCCAGCTCACCCTCCTGCAGGTTCATAATTCTACCCAGGGCAGCTTGCTGTCAGCTCGGGACCCTCAAGCACCTTATCAGTTCACGCCACAGGCAGCTCCCTGGCATCCCGAGTGGCTGTCCATCCTGCAGCCCGCCATCCTGCCCACCAATCCCCACAGCCAAGGGTCTCCGCCAGCCCTGCAATGACCATCTTCCCCACCTGGACCTGTTCCTCGGCTGCCCAGACCCCCACAGGGATCCATCCCTGAGACCCCGCTGCTCCTCCGCCTCTGCCTTAGCACACCACCTCTCCTCAGACACCACGTTCACTTCCCTCCGCTTACCTGCGCCACCTCGGCCACTGGAACCTGCGGGCAGAGCCAGATCCCGAAAATGGCTGATAAAGAAACGCCACCGAATCGGGTCTCGGCCACGCCCGCCCCGAGCGCCGCGACGTCCGAACGCCGCAGAAGCTTCGAGGGCAGGTCTCCCTCTCGCCTCGGTAAAAACGCGATGGAGGACGATGGGAGCCGCCTCCCTCGGGAAGGCGCAAGGAAGCAGGGCGGCGGGGAGCGGCGCCTCTCCTGAGGGCAAAGTCTCCGCAAGACGCAGTCACCGCGCGGGAGCCACGGGCGCGTGAAGAGGCGGTGACGGCCCCTCGCGAGGCTCCCGCGCCTGGACGTGAGGAGCCGCTCGGACCCTCCCGCCCGCGCAGCAGCCAGGGCAACGGAAACCGCGCCCGGTTACTTCACCGCCCGCTGCAGACTGTGACGTCATTTCCCGGCTGCCCTCACTAAGCCGCTTGATTGTTGTCAAGGCGACGGGGAAAGCGCCGTTAGCGACGGAACTACATTTCCTAGGAGACATCTTGCTGCATCAGACGCAGCAAGTGGCGGCCTCGAACTGGTGTTTCTGGCCAAGCCGCGTCGGCGAGGGCGGGTCTCCCGGTGTCCGGTCCTGACAGTTTCTTTAGGACCAGCAGAAGGAGCGATAGTTCGTTGGTCGGAGTGTGTGGCTGACTTGGGGCCTGGGGTCGTGGGAAGGAGGAGGACGCGTGGGAGGAAGATAGTTGCTAGTGTGAAATATCCGCAGTCAGGTCAGCGTATACACCAGTGGGTAGGCAGAACGGAGTGGGTGCGGGAGCCTACCTCGTACAGTCGGTGATTCTGTTTCAGAAGGGCCTGGCTGAGGAGGGTCAGAGTCCTGGACACCTCAGGGCAGAAGGCTGGGGAGGAAAAGAACCACGTTGGTGCGAGCCTTGCCCGGTCACATCCGCCTGAGAGTGTCCTTGGTCTTGTGGGAGGAATGAGGCTTTGCGAGGAGTTCGTGGGGAGCGTCTCGCTTAGGGTGAGAGCTTTGCATTCTTGACCTTCATGGATCCAGCCCCCTTTCCTCACTGTCCTTAACCACAACTTTATGTCCTCTCTCTGCCCATATTTTCCTTAGAAGTTGCTGTTGGTTCTGCTGCGTGCCTCAGGCCATACCACCTTCCTCTCACGCCCCCTCACGCCCCAGAACGTTCTGCAGAGGGTCATGGGTAGACCTGCGAAAGATTTGGTGAGTTGGGGAACAGGTGGGGCACAACTTCTTCTAATCAGCAATCTGAGCTTCATCGGCCACAAGAGGGCAGGCCTCCTTGCCCAGGTGCCCAGTGCAGCCCTGGCACGCAGAACACATTCAGTAAACATTTGTGGATACCCATCAGAATCAGAGGCCCACATGTATCTGATAACCTGTTGGGGTTCAATAAATTCGAGCGAGACTCCATGGCGAGTGAAATGATTTTAATTTCCAGTCCGGGGCAACCTCTTGCCATAAGCAAGAAGCGCCCTGAATGAAATAAGTGTGGGGTTTTTATAGTAAGTATCAATCAGAAAATCAAAAGCTACGTGACAGAAAGCAAATACATGATTAGGGGCTTACAGTTATACAAAACAGAAAACAGGAAATAGGAATTTATAATACATAGGCTTGGGGTCCTGATCACATCACTTTAATACAGACAGTAATAAAACAGCATGCCTCAAAGACAGCTGTCTTTCTTGTAAATCTCAAAAGTCCAAGATGCTCCTTATCTCCTGCCTGCCTCCTGGTGCTTCAGGAAGCAGGAGCTTTTTCTCCTCTAACAGGATGCAGAGGTCTCTCTGGAGATTCCAGACTTCCAAGAGTACAGGCACCTTTACAATTAATCCTATCAATAACCCCCTTCACCTTTGTAATAAATAGTGCAATAAATTAAAAACATATATATTTGTGGACAAAAGAATTCCCTGCAAGTACAGGGTTTATTGTTATTCATTTTACAGAGAAGAGAACCGAAGGTTGTCCCAGTCACATCTGTCTGATGCTATACCTATTGATGCCCACACTCCTGGGCATTCTCAGGCACCTCAGACAAGCCTGCTGCCCAGAGTGCCAACCAGGATCAGTCGGGGACAGTGCAGTGGGATGGGGTGGGCAGAGTGAGGCCCGTGGGCAAGGGCAGGAAGGAGGGCCCCAAGCTTGGTGTGGGTTGTTTCCGGCGGCCTCTTTGTATTCAGTGGGTAGGCATGCATCAAAGTACTAATCAACAGACAGATGGGGTGCTCAGGGACCCTTGGGCTCTATAATCAGCCTTTTATGGGAGGAATGAGGCCTCGCCCAGTTGGGAGTGGGGAAGAGCCGCAGCAGAAGTTAGGGAAAGAGGAAGGGGACACACTCCATTGCCCAAGCTCTGCCATCACGTGGTCTCCCCGGGATTCCTAGCCTTTTTGCAGACTGTGCCATCTGCTTCAACTGCAGCCCCCGAGTACTTGAGGTCCTCCTTCTAAGCAGCCATCCTGGACCACCCTCAGGCATCACCTCTCCATGCATGCACCACCCGACTGAGCCCACCCAGAGCAGGTCTACTCTCACCCACCTTCACCCCCCAGGTTGGGGTAGGGAAATGAATGAGGGCAAGCCCTGAGACCTTATGGTGGGTTGGTAATGACCCAGATCCTAATTCTTGGAATTTATGAATCTTAATTTTTTTTAAGATTCATTTATTTTTTATTGGAAAGCCAGATATACATAGAAGAGGAGAAACAGAGAGGAAGATCTTCCTTCCGATGATTCACTCCCCAAACAATGGCTTGAGCTGAGCCGATCCGAAGCCAAGAGCCAGGAGCTCTTCCGGGTCTCCCACGTGGGTGCAGGGTCCCAAGGATTTGGGCCATCCTCAACTGCTGTCCCAGGCCTTAAGCAGGGAGCTGGATGGGCAGTGAGGCCGCTGGGATTAGAACTGGCACCCATATGGGATCCCCAGGGTGTACAAGGCGAGGACCTTAACCACTGTGCCTCTGTGCCGGTCCCGAATCTTAGTTTTTTTAAAGATTTGATATTTATTGCAAAGTTAGATATTCAGAGAAGAGAGACAGGAAGATCTTCCATTCAATGATTCACTTCCCAAAGTGGCCGCAATAGCCGGTGCCGTGCTCATTCAAAGCCAGGAGCCAGGAACTTCTTCCAGGTGTCCCATGTGGGTGCAGGATGCCAAGGCTTTGGGCCATCCTTGACTGCTTTCCCAGGCCACAAGCAGGGAGCTGGATGGGAAGCGGGGCTACTAGGATTAGAACTGGTGCCCATATGGGATCCTGGCGTATTCAAGTCAAGGACTTTAGCTACCAGGCCACAGCACTGGGCCTGAATCTGTTACCTTTCTTTGCAAAATGAACTTTCCAGATGGATTCAATTGAAGAGTTTGAGATTTTTTTTTTGTTTTTTTTTTGGTTTTTTGTGTTATTTGAATGCGTGGACCCAGAACTCCCAGTGTCCTTATAAGTGAAAGAGGATGGCATTCAGCTTAGCCCTTTAGATTAGATGCTTGCATGCCACATGGGAGTGCCTGGGTTTAAGCCCTAGCTTAGCTCCCAATTCCAGCTTCCTGCTGATGCACAGCCTGGGAGGCACTAGGTGATGATGACTCAAAGACTTGGGTCCCTGTCACCCACATGGAAGACCTAGTTGGAGTTCCTGGCTTCTGATGTGACCAGGCTCAACCCCAGCCATCCCGGTCCCTTTGGGGTGTGAATCAGCAGAAGGGAGACCTGATTCTCTGTCTCTCTGCCTTTTGAGCAAAATAAACAGAAAGAGGCTGGCAGGACAATCTGGGGGGGAGATTTGGAAATGCTGTGCTGCTGGCCTTGAGGAAGCCGTGAGCCAAGAAATCCACCTCTAAAAGCAGGGAAACTAAGGGACTAAATGGTTTCTTAAGAGAAGCCAGAAGCTGGCTGAGGACTCCTGGATTCAGCTGCATCTGGGAGTCATCTGTTACAGGAACCAGAGATGGGAGTACACTTGGCCAACCTGCTTCCTCCTAGCCAGGTGAGGCTGGGCCATGACTGCTCGGTGTGGGCCAAGAATGGGGCTGGGAAGCAGACTCCTGGGCTCCCTGAGAATCCTCCTGTGGCTTCCCACCCGGGATGGATAGCTCACACAGACGTCCAGTTCCCCAGGATGGTAAGGACTTTGGCACATCCACACACAGTCCCACACTACCGCTTACTCTATGTCAGGTGTTCAGAACACACAAGGAGACAGCTCAGAAAGAGCTTCTGGCCACACAGCTCACCCCAACACACAACACCCATCCCCAGATGAGGTGAGGCAGAGCATCAGCCTGCACAAAGGGCGGCTTCCTCAAAGCCCTCTGTGACTAACTCAGGAAGGCTTCTGGGAGGGGAACAGGAGCCCACACACATGCCACCTCCCCTGGAGGTCACTCTGCAGTAAGGAGCCTGGGCAGTGCTGACGGAACCCTGGGAGAGGAAATGCAATATTTGATCCTGAGAGATTACATGAAAGTGTTGGAGCTACTAGCAGGGAGGAGGACAGGATCCCGCGGGCCAGCAAGGGTGGTGCACAATCCCCAACCCCGATTTTGATCTCTCTGAGCCATGGTGACCACAGCTGTCCATAGCATGCTGTAAATGCCCACAGGGAAGTTGAGACCCCAAGACTTAAGACTGGTGTAGGAGCCAGGCCCTCTAAGGCCAAGCTGCAGGCAGCTGCACAGGGTAGCCACTGTACAGCCACCATCAACATGTAGACATTGCAGACCATGGGCTTCCATGAAGGCCCAGCCTGGAGGCAGTGCAGTGAAACAGGAAAGGCAGAAAGTTCACAGATGGCTTGAGGTGCACACCATCTCCTGTGATGGTCCAGCAGAGGAGGGGGCCAAGTTCAGGAAGAGAAGAGACAGCAGCTATATCCTTGCAGGCAGAGGTTGGCCACTTGGCTGAACCCAGAGCATATGCCCTTGTGGGCATGGAAGACCCTGTCCAGTGCTCTGTGGTGCCCATGACTCAGGGGGACACTTGCAGCAGTAGCACTGTTTCCATTGCTTGGATGTCAGTGAGCAGAGGACAGCTGGGTTGCCCACAAGACACCTGGGTACTTCTCACTGAACCCCACCATGACCAGGCTCCGCAGCAGCCCTGGCAAACTCCTTCCAGAGACCTGGATTAGGGTACGCTCTGCTGACAGCCACAGGAATCAGGTCCTCAGAACAGACCCCCAGGTGGTTTGAAGTCCACAGTAGCTGTTCCTTGAGAGGATCCTCCCCTCGTGGCTTCGGGATCACGATGTGGGGGATATGGTGCCCAGGCTAGCAGGTGGGTGACAGCCCCACAACTGCTAAGGTCCCAGGAAGAAAGGCACTAGGTCTCCAGGTTTGGATGCCGGACTTGTAGCAGCCACACATTCACTGTGACTCCTAAAGCCTCCCCCTGTGCAGCGTTCCCCCGCCTTCCGCAGGCTCCTTCAGGCCCTCCCTGGCCGCCTTCAGCGCCTCCTCCATTTCTCCCACCTCCCCCAGCAGGGTAGAGTCCAGGACAGGGACTGTGGAGCTTGATGTCCAGTCGGGGGTCCAGGGCGCCTCCGGGGCAGTTGGTGGTGGCAACCAGAAGGAAGGTGCTGGGGCGAGTTCCACAAGCTGGGGTCGCGCAGGGCCTGAGGAGGCAGCGTGCGGGATAAGGAAGAAGATGTAGACACCCGAGACTACCAGGCCAGCAGCCACCAGCACGGCCAGCGCTACGGCGGCGTTGAAGGCCCAGGCCGGGCTGCTCAGCGAGAGGCGGCGGGACAGTGGGCGGCCGAGACGCAGCGGGGGCGGGAGCGCGGCGCGGGCCTTGCGGGACCCCGGCAGGGGCGGCGGCGGCCGCAGGTACAGCAGGCCGCGGCGGCGATCGAAGCGCACAGAGCCCTGCCGTGGCAGTGGAGTGCGTGCGTCGCAGGGAAGCAGGCCCGGCTGCGTGGGCAGGGCAGGCAGCCCACGGCGTGGGGCCAGCCGGGTGGGAGCGCGGCATACCGGGCATGCTACTGCGTCGCCGCCGCCGGCTGTGGCCAGTGAGAGGCGAGCCAGGCACTCGAGACAGAAGACATGGCCGCAATCCAAACACTTGGGCAGCTTGAACATGCCGTCGAAGGGCGACACGCAAATGAGGCATTCCACAGGGGACGCGGGGGACAGGATAGGGTCAGAACCCGGGCTGCCATCCCCTTCTTCGTCGTCCTCGTCCTGGCCTCTGCTCACAGGGTGAGGCGAAGCTGGTGAGCCTGGGGAGCTGGGGCTGGTGCCCTGAGGGGCCTGGGAGCGGCGGAGCCAAGGAAGCCTTGGACAGGGCATTCAGATCAGACCTGCAGGGGAAGTGGCCAGGAGGGGCTGAGGGAGGATTGGCTTCTCCAAAGCAGAGGGCTAACCAAAGACGGAACAAAGCCAGAGTCTGGGGACAGGAAATGTTTCTGGCAGGGTCCCCCCTGGACAAGAAACCCAACACAAAGATGGGAAGGATGTAACTCCAGCAAAGATCTAGAACAGCGAGAACCACTTGGGACAACCAGCACAGAGACCCAACCCAGGAAACCCTCCAGGCTGCAGGGAGACACTCCAGCCACAGAACTTGGGGCAGCAGCAAATACAGGCCCCCAACAAGAGGGAGAACTACCCAGGTGGCATGCAGGGGAGCCTTCCTACCTGCAGATGCCTTCTTCCTTGGCTGGTGTCCTGCCTCCACCAATTCTGACCTCCCTTGCCTGACTGGCTGGCCTGGCTATTTTCAATGCCCCTCCCCATGGGTGGGCCCGAAGTAAGGGCCACTCCCTCCAGAACCCAGGCACCCATAAAACCTGCCTGGCAACCTGTCTCACAGCCTAGGCCAGTCCTGCCGGAACACCAGAGCTTGACCTCCACAGGATATCGGAGGTGGATGTAATAGTAGGAACAGCACAACCCGCAGGAGTTGACTTCACAGTTGTGAGGTCAGCTCAAGGCCGCTGGCTGCAGCTACAAAACTTGGAGGACAGGCTGGCTACAATGTGTGACCCACACAGCAAGCCTGCACTTCCTGAACTGGGTACATTCTCAGGAAACTGAGTAACCCAACAAAACCCCTTTCTAGATCAGTCTTTTTTCCCAAGACCTATCTACCTTCAATGGAAAGGCAGATGTAGAGGAGATTCTTCCCACACTGGTCCACTCCAAGTCACTGCAATGCCCAGAGGTGAGCTGATCCAAAGGCCGGAGCCAGGAGCTTCCTCCCAGCCTTCTACATGGGTACAGGGTCCCAAGGCTTTGTCCCACTGCCCTCCCAGGACATAAGGAGGTACCTGGAGCAGCCAGGACAGGAACTCCCAGTACTTGCAAGGTCAGGACCCGTCATCAGGTGACAGTGCAGGGCCCCCTAGGTCAATCTTAAGTGCCAGTTGATTAGAGGTCAGGAACTGGCTAGTGACAGTCAGTAAAAAGATGAGGGGCCCAGCATGGTGGCCTAGCTGCTAAGGTCCTCGCCTTGAATGCACCAGTGTACCATATGGGTGCTGGTTTGTGTTCCAGTAGCACCGTTTCCCTTCCAGGTCCTTGCTTGTAGTCTGGGAGGGTAGTCAACTGTGGTCCAAGACCTTGGTACCCTGCATCTGTGGAGGAAGTTCTTGGCTCCTGGCTTTGGATTGGTGTGGCTCTGGCTGTTGTGGTCACTTGGGGAGTGAATCATCAGGATATACGATTCTCCACTCTGTATATCTCTGACTTTCCAATAAAAATAAATTGGGCCAGGCAGCATGGCCTAGTGACTAAAGTCCTCGCCTTGATTGTGCCAGGATCCCATAAGGGAGCCAATCCCAGCTCCACTTCCCATCCAGCTACCTGCTGTGGCCTGGGAATGCAGTTAGGGATGGCCCATTGCTTTGGGATCCTGCACTCCTGATCAGCACGACATTGTATCACTGGATGGAGGATCTTCCTGTCTATCTCTCCTCCTCTCCGTGTATCTTTGTAAAAAATAAATAAATAATCTTCCAGGCAGCCTCAATTGTACAGGAATAAGCACCATGGTTCTGAATTGGGCCCTACAGACCACCAAATGTGCCAGAGATGCCAGCAACCCCAAGACCATTATGGCCACACCACCCTCCACTAAGGATGGACATCCACACACAAGTGGGGGTCACCCCCAAAGACAGTTTTATTGGGCAGTGCCTGGGAAATCAGCGGTTTGACTTGGCCACACGCTCCAGCTCGTCCTTCTTCTTGATGGCATAGGAGTTGGAGGAACCCTACAACGAGACCAGGTTAGCACTGCACGCCGGAGGACCACCCCCAACGCCCAGCCCAAGACCTTCCTCACCCCCAGTGTGCTCACACACACCTTAGCCGCATTGATGAGCTCGTCCGCCAGGCACTCAGCAATGGTTTTGATGTTTCGGAAGGCAGCTTCTCGAGCACCTGTGCACAGCAGCCAGATGGCCTGGAAAGCAAACGTGGCAGGGGACAGGGGACGGGAGGGTCAGACTAAGCCAAGAGCCCAGGATACTCCCAACACACCAACATAAAGGAGACAGTGGCATCCTGACTTCAGATCAGCTACGATGTAACAACACTGGGGTTAGGTCTGCAGTGGGGGCATGTGTGTATAAATGGAGTAATGCCATGTATCACCATTGGCCACTTGATTTCTTAACACCTGCCTGTTCATGTGTGCAGGAAGCAGAGAAAATGACTCAACTACTCCAGTACACACCACCCCCGAGGCCTGGGCGGAATTCCTGCCCACCTGATTAACACGGCGCAGCGGGGACACATCCACAGCCTGCCGCCTCACAGTTCCAGCTCGCCCGATGCGCGTGGAGTCCTCTCGGGGGCCACTATTGATGATGGCGTTCACCAAGACCTGCAGAGGGTTCTGGGAAGGAAGGCCCTGGTCATCAGCCTGACTCACAGCTATGCACCCACACAACACAGCAATCCACCAGCTCACAGGCATACCCCGGGACTCAGGGTGTTCCCAGCAGACTGTACCTGGCCCCAGAGCCTACCTCCCCAGTCAGCAGGTGAATGATCTCGAAGGCGTGCTTGACGATACGCACGGTCATGAGCTTCTTGCCATTGTTGCGGCCGTGCATCATCATGGAGTTGGTGAGGCGCTCCACGATGGGGCACTGGGCTTTGCGGAAGCGCTTGGCAGCATAGCGGCCTGCACTGTGTGGCAGATACTTGGCGTACTTCTCCTTTACTGCAATGTAATCCTGGGAAGGCGGAAGAAGGGGCCACTGGTCAGGGTCAGGACGGGTCTCAGACATTGACCATAGACTCTCAGCCTGGGGCCCGGCAGCATAGCCTAGTGGCTAAAGACCTCGCCTTGCACATGCCAAGATTCCATATGAGTGCTGGTTCTAATCTCAACAGCTCAACTTCCCATCCAGTTCTCTGCTCGTGGCCTGGGAAAGCAGCTGAGGACAGTCCAAAGCCTTGGGACCCTGCACCCGTGTGGGAGATACAGAAGAGGATCTGGGTCCTGGCTTCAGATTGGCACACCACCAGCCGTTGCAATCACTTGGGGAGTGAATCATCGGACAGAAGACATTTCTCTTTATCTCTCCCCCTCTCTGTACATCTGCTTTTGCAATAAACTTAAATAAATCTTTTTCTTTTCAAAGTATGTCTATAAATGCAAGCACTCCTGCCATCCCACATCTACCCTGGAGAGGCGGCTGCAGGTCATCACCCACTGACATCCCAGAGGTGACTGAGCCAGGATTTGGGCCCAGGTTCTGATACAGCATGACACAAACAGGGGCTTAACCCCTGGCACCTGACACTGTTTTTTCTAATTCTTAGTGGACTGAGCATGCACCAGAACAGAAGTGATCAGGCCCAGATGGAAAATCAGAGCAGATCACACTGCTGAGCACCCATTCTCCTCCCAGTGACTGGATCCAGAAACAGTTCTCTTCCTCATCACAAAGACCCTGGAAAGCTCAGCATTTCTGGGAGACAGCTGTTGCAGGTATTCGGGAAACTGCCTGTGGAGCTCAACAAAAACGGTGACCAAGAAACTGTATCTGGGACCATTGCTTGTGACGCCAGCATCACAAACACACCGATCGGAGATATCCTAACTGTTCTGCTTGACACAGTTTTTCGCTAAGCAGTACATGGTTCACTGGTCCCAACCACAAACTTCAAGTGAACTCTAAGGCAAGAACCCAGACATTCCCGCAACCTCCAGCCGGGCAGAGCAGAACCCACGTCCCCTCACCTGCAAGGAAATATCATTTATCTGCACGTCGTCAGTGCTCCACTTCCCGAAGAGCTTGATATCCGGGGTTTCTGCCACCGCAGGTGCAGCTGTCTCCCACTCGGTCATCCTGGGGATGAGAAACGCCCTGAGTGCCGGGCCACCTGCAGCAAGGGCCCAGTCGACCCGTCCGCACGCGCGGACCTAGAAGCAGGATACCACTGCGTGCATCGTCTGCGATCCTGAGAAAACTGCCGTCTATCGGACACGACCATCTCCCATCCACACCCCGTCGGGAGCCCGATACCGCCACCCACGGACGTGAACGCAAAAGCAACGACTCCCGTGAGAACCAGGATTGCCGGGGGAACGAGTACTTGAGCGCAGCCCAGCGCGCCTCCCGCGACCCGCCGAGACGGAACTGCGCGTCTGGAGTGAAGGTGAGGCTTACGAGGCCCCCGCCGGCCCTCCGGCCCCGTAGCTTCCGTCCCGCGGGCCGCGGACCCCACGGGGGCCGCGCGGAAGCCACGGGCTCACCTGGTGCTGCAGCCGGCGGATAGACCGCTCGTTCGCTCGGAACCACGCGCTGCCCTGGTCCGGACAGGAAGAGGCCGCGCGTCGCGGTCCGACGCTTTTAAACACAACGATAACTTCCGGGTCAACACCAGCGTCGACCAGAGTAACGCGATCACGTTCGTACACGGACCAATCCGAAACAAACATGTAAAACGCGCCCTTTCGGTCAGACAGAACACGCAGATCCTCCGCGCGTGCGCACTCGTGGAAACAGCGCCACAAACTTTCTGGCGAATGGCTCCCATTGGCCTGGGCTTGCGGATTTTGCACAGGCGTAGTAAACTCTCTGAGGCCGTCACCGCCATTTCTAACAAGGGCAGCCGTTCATCCCGTGTCCTCTTCATGCGCTACCAGTCCGTTTTCTAACTGGGTCGCCAGTCCGCTCCCCTGTGGTTCTTCGCTGCCGTCACGGCCGCCTCACAGGTTCGCGTGCAATACGTGTCCGAGGTGGCGGGGTAGGGTCGCCGGCCACGTGTGTCTGCCGCTGGGGACTATTCCGGGCGCACGCGCGGCCGCGCGCGGCTGCCGCTCAGCTTCCTGTGTCCAGTCGGGCTGCGACTCGCATCTACGGGTGTTTTGGCAGCCTCTTCTCTCCTTTCACCCCCTCCCAGTCCCCTAACGTTCTCCGTGTCTTGCTGGTCGGCGACAGGTCCTCCAGAGGAGGGCCCAGGATTGCGCAGGTGGAGGCCATATTGTGGTGCCGGACCTCGAAAGAGGGCTGGGCGGCAGGTTCTCCACGGCCACGGACTAGGAGCTTCCACGAGAGACTTGGGGTTCCCGATCCCAGAGCGCTCCTTTCTCTGGAGACCCGGCTCCCAGGGTCACCCGTTTCCATCGAGAGCGGACCTCTCCCGGGACTGGAAATGTCGGTGCAGGCCCTGTGGGGGAGGAAGGCAGAATGGGGCATAAACCTCACCAAGAATATCGTCTTTTTTCTTTTTTAAGGATTTACTTATTTTTCTTGGAAAGTCAGATGTACAGAGAGACAGAGAAATCTCCCATCCGCTGGTTCACTCCCCAAGTGGCCACAACAGCTGGAGCTGATCCGAAGCCAGGGGCTTCCTCCGAGTCGCCTTCGTAGGTACAGGTTCCCAAGGCTTTGGGCCGTCCTCAGCTGCTTTCCCAAGCCACAAGCAGAGAACTGGATGGGAAGTGGAGCATTCGGGATATGACCCAACATCCATATAGGATCCTGGTGCGTTCACCATTAGGCTGCCTCGCTGGGCCCAAGCATATCTTTGTAACAGTCCAGCAAATCCTAGAGGGTTACCCCCTGTGCCTGGGCAAGAGGGCAGAGGTAGAAAGCTCACCCAGCCAGCCTATTCTGGGCAGCAAACCTCGGGGCTGTGCCCCCCAGGGACCTGTGGATGCTCCTGCCCACTTAGAACCCCTTCCTCAGTGACACTGGTGGCCAACCTATGGCCCTTTCACAGCCTATATGTGGAGTGGTTACTAGCCTATACACACGAGCAGGTCTGGGACTTGGAGCAGCCCTGGTGGACCTTCCAGAGGCAGCAACCAGCCAGCACACACCTTTGTTCCCAGCTGTGCTGTGTAAGGCAGCATCCTGCAGAGCCAGACTTCAGGTATAACTGGGGCATCTCCAGCCACTTGAAACTTGACCTGGGCCCTGGGGCAGCTGCAAAATTGGCTAAATTTTGCACTGGGGTCACATATAGGTGCCAGTTCGTGTCCCAGCTGCTCTACTTCACATCTAGCTCTCTCTCTGTGGCCTGGGAAAGTAGTGGACAATGGCCTAACGCTGCCACTGCATCTGCATAAGAGATCCAGAAGCCGCTCTTGGCTCCTGGCTTCAGATTGGCTCAGCTGTGGTCACTGTGGTCATTTGGAGAGTGAATCAGCAGATGGAAGAACTTTCTACCTCTGCTTCTCTCTAATCTGTCATTTCCAAAAAAGGAAACGACCCAGAAAAAAAGAGGTTGTCTCTCAAGACCCTAGTGCTGGGTCTGTCCGCAGCTCCCCATCCCATGCTCGTAACAGGTGTCCAGCAGCTGAGCCCCCCACCTCCACCCCATTCCAGGGCTATTTCAACTTGCAGGCAGCTGAGGGTGTCCCCACAGTGCTCCTCCTTGATTGCCCCAAAAGGACACAGGTCCTGAAGCTGGCTTCAGCCGAGGAATTAGCCTGCCGTGGTCTGAGGAACAGAGTCAGCTGCCTTTCCTGCCCTAGTCCTGATCAACATGTCTGAGCACACAGGCATGGAACACGCCAGGATCCCTTATGGGCACTGGTTCTGATCCTGGCAGCTCCCCTTTCCATCCAGCTTCCTGCCTGTGGCCTGGGAAAGCAGTCAAGGACAGCCCAAAGCCTTGGGACCCTGCACCTACCAGGGAGACATGGAGGAAATTCCTGGCCCCTAGCTTTGGATTGGCACAACACTGGCCGTTGTGGTCACCTGTGGAGTGAATTATGGGACAGAAGATCTTCCTCCCTGTCCCTCCTCCTGTCTGTATATCTGCCTTTGCAATAATAATAATAAAAACAGAGAACAGCCAGGGATTGAACTGATACTTACATGGGATGCTGGTGTTATAGGCAGCAGTACCACCTGCTGTACTGGGCCCTGCCTTCCCATCTGCCCTGCCGCCCTTAGGTTATTTATTTGAAAGCCCGAGTTACAGGGAGAGACCAGAGAGGCAGTGAGTATCTCTTCACCTGCTAGTTCACTCCCCAGATGGCCACACAGTATCTAGGGATGGACAGGCTAAAACCAAGGATCATGGCATACCAAGACTCTGTGTTAATGTCTTCTCCCTATTCTAAGAGTTGATGGCTTCACGTAAGATAAGGATTAATGAAAGCTTTACATGATATTTGGGTTTTTTCAGGGTATAAGAGACTATGTATTTTTTTTTCAGTATGGATGCATTTTTTTATTACAAAGTCAGATATGTAGAGAGGAGGAGAAACAGAGAGGAAGATCTTCTGCCTGATGATTCACTCCACAAGTGATCACAACAGAGCTTCGCCGATCCAAAGCCAGGAGCCAGGAGCTCTTCCTGCAAGTCTCCCATGTGGGTACAGGGTCCCAAAGCTTTGGACCATCCTCGATTGCTTTCCCAAGCTACAAGCAGGGAGCTGGATGAGAAGTGGAGCTGCCAAGATTGGAACCAGCACCCATATGGGATCCCAGCATGTTCAAGGCGAGGACTTTAGCCACTAGGCCACCACACCAGGCCCAAGACTATGTATTCTTAGACCAAGTGTATCATCCTGAAAATGTGGATGATGGCCTCAGTGTAGATTAATAAAACCATTTCTCCTTTAAGCATCTTCTTGTTATCTGTTTAATAAATCCTGTCATCTGGTCCATGAGTGGGGACTTGAAGAAAGCTGGGAGACCCCGAAAGGAGAACAAAGTGCTGAAGCTGATCGAATTTTTGGCATTTTATAATGGAAAAGCAGTATCTGCTTCAAGGACTGGTGACAGGAACAGGGGCTAAAGTTTGCACTTATGAAAGTGATAAGTTGTCACATCACTTAAGGAACTTTATTCTGTGCTGTTAGTCATCATGGCTACTGGCTTCACCCTACAGGGAAGTACATGCTTAACTGCAAGGTTTGGGCTAAAGTTTTAAGACAGGCACAGCAAAGAGGAGAAATGCTTCCTGTGAAAGTCCGGACTCTAATATCAACGAGCTTTAAGCCCTTACAGTCAGACTAGGAGGTGTCTAGGAAGGTTGTCACGAATATGAAATATAGACTGGAGTCCCTCAAGAAATGAAAATATACCAACCCACGGAAGAAACTGCAGAGAGAGGAAGAAAGAGGCTTCTGCTCCCACTATCGAAGTTAGAGAAAAAGGAAAAGGGTGTCTAACCCTGCAGTAGAACAGGAAGCCTGCTTCCTCTCTGATTCTGATGGTAATTCAGAAAGTGCATCAGAAATTATTTTTTTAAGATTTATTTTTATTGGAAAGTCAGATAGAGAGAGAGAGGAGGAGAGACAGATCTTCCATCCAATGATTCACTCCCCAAGTGACTACAACGGCTGGTGCTGCACTGATCCGAAGCTAAGAGCCAGGGGCCTCCTCCAGGTCTCCCACATGGGTGCAGGGTCCCAAGGCTTTGGGCTGTCCTTGACTGCTTTCCCAGGCCACAAGTAGGGAGCTGAATGGGAAGCGGGGCTGCCAAGATTAGAACCTGTGCCCATAAGGGATCCTGGTGCGTTCAAGGCAAGGACGTTAGCCACTAGGCCATGGTGCCGGGCCCAGATATTGTGTTTAAAGTACAGCATAAGGGTTTGCAACAGTTAGAGAAAGAAATAAAGCTGATATGTGGGAGAAAAACAGAAGCCTATAGCTTTGTCAGATATTATTACTAAAGTGCAATACAAAAATTTACTAAAGGAGATAAGAAAACTAGCTAAAAGAATCGGTAAGTTTGGGCACGACATGGTGGCCTAGTATATCTACAGCCCAAAGCTTTGGGACCCTGCACCCACATGGCAGACCCAGAAGAAGCTCCTGGCTTCATATTGGCACAGCTCTGACTGTTGTGATCGCTTGTGGAATGAATCATTGGATGGAAGATCTTCCTCTCTGTCTCACCTCCTCTCTGTATATCTGACTTTGCAATAAAAAATAAAATAAATCTGGGCCCGGCACCGTAAGCAGGGAGCCAGATAGGAAATAGATTAGCTTGGATTTGAACTAGCAACTATATGGGATGCCGAGTTTAAACAAGTAGATGCTTAACTTGAATGTCACTATACTAACCATTATTTTTTTGTACTGTTTTTTATTTAAAAGCAGAATTGCTAAGATAAGAGTGACAGAGAATCTTTCCTGTGCTGGTTCAGCACTCAAACCGGCAGGGTGGGTTCAGCAGGGCAGCAGGCTTTTCCCATTCCTGGCATGTGAACCTCACGTCTTTGTCACCTCCTGCCCTTTATCAAAGGAACAAAAAGCAATTGAATCAGTATTAGGTAAAGGTGATAGTAATTAATGTATGATCAATTATAAGATTTAATAAAGAATCTGTGATATATGCCTTTATAAATTCCTTTGATTTATGAGCTTTTCTTTTCATTCTGTACTCTTGATATTTTAAGTAATATTAGTTTATGTTTAGTGAAAATTGATTTTGGATATAAGCAAACCACTTGTCACTATGTAACCACATGTGCTGCCAACCATGGAGTTCCTGGCTCCAGCCAGGTCAGTGCAGGTTTGAATGAGTAATAGCTTGCTGAAAATATTTTCTCTGAAGTAAAACAATAATAATGATTTTTAGGAATGATTTTGTAATTCTTTTTTTTAAAGATTTATTTATTTATTGTAAAGTCAGAGATACAGAGAGGAGGAGAGACAGAGAGGAAGATCTTCCGTCCGATGATTCACTCCCCAAGTGACCACAACAGCTGGTGCTGCACCGATCCGAGGCCAGGAGCCAGGAACTTCCTCCAGGTCTCCGACATGGGTGCAGGGTCCCAAGGCTTTGGGCTGTCCTCGACTGCTTTCCCAGGCCACAAGCAGGGAGCTGGATGGGAAGTGGAGCTGCCAGGATCAGAACCAGCACCATAAGGGATCCTGGCTTGTTCAAGGCGAGGACTTAAGCCACTAGGCCACTGCACTTGGCCCAGGGTGGAAAAATTTAAAGACTACAGGAATGGGCCCAGCACCAAGGCCTAGCGGCTAGTCAGAAGCTCAAGCTGGAACCCCTGCTTCATGGGCAGCAGGGACCCCAGCACTCAGTGTCGCTTGCTTCTTCTCAGGGTGTGTGTTAGCAGAAAGCTGGAGCCAGAAGCAGAGCCAGCAGTTGAACCCAGGCACTCTGACAGTGAAGTCCTCAGTGTCGTCTTAGCTGTAGCACCAAGCACCTGCTCCCAGGCATGGTGTCCCTGAGTCACAAGTGAGCCACGGTGTCTGACAGGCCAGGGTCAGCCTCGACACTGCCTTTTCAGTGCTACCCAGAGGCCCGCCCGGGTTGCTGGAGGTCCAGATGGAGATGGGACTCACCTGCAGCCACACCTGTTGTCTCCATTGCCACAGGCATTTGCCCTCTTCCTCCCTACTTGGGAAGGCACAGGTGGAATGGTGTCCCTGGAGCAGTGGGCCCTGCATGTGACTCCAGAGGAAGGCCATGGTCTCTGGATCATGGAAGATGGACATGAGGGACTGCTCAGAGGGGGCTATCTGGAGGGTGGGGCCCCTGAGCGAAGCTCTTGAGGTGGGGAAGGTCCACTGGCAGCACCCACCCAGGAAGCGAACTGCTGCTGTGGTGTTTGGGAGAGCTAGGGCAGCGAGCCTCTGCCTCTTCCTGGGAGTCATGCTGCTGATGCAATGACTGTGCACACATGGGGGCTGTGCAGTGAGCCCAGTGTGGGAAGACATTCCCATGTCCTACCCACACTCCACACTCTACCTCAACAGTGTCTCCTCTGGGAGAGGTCTCAGAAATCCAGGAGGCTGCTGGGTGACTCAGTCCCAGCTTGCAGGCTCCACACTGGTGTATGCTTGAACCTAGGGGCAGCAGGGCCCATGCCATGGGCTGGAGTGGAAGATCTAAGACAAATGAACTGGGGCAGATCTGATTCCAGGTCCTGGATGTCACCCAGCCAGTGTTGGGGAAGTGGGGACCACAGCTCCCAGGTACTGTGAGTCTGCCAGTAGCGTGAGAACAAGCCCAGGAAGTAAGCATGGGGCACCCACCTTGGTGCCACAGGGTAATGTGTTGTGGCCAGCAGAAGGTGCTGTGTTGGACCTCAGGAGGGCCCTGGCACTGCTAGCTAAGCCCAGCAGGTCCTGAGGGAGGGGAGCCTGCAGTGTCCCCTTCTCAGAAAGGATCCCAGTGCTCCTATGAGGCTAGTTTATGGTCATTTTAGCTTATTGGTCATCTATTACTATTGACAGTCCCTACTGCTGACCTCCTGCAATGCCCTTTGTCCCCACCCCAGGCAGCTCCACCCCTGCTTTCTGGGAAGAGGTATGTGGTGTGGTCTTCCTGCCACCCCAGTCGTGCGCCCCAGGCACTCTTGGGCAGCTGGGTGCAAGGGGCCAGCAATGGGTGCATGGGTACCCCTCCTGCTGCTCTGGGGTGAGGTACCTAGGGCCTGGGTTCCCCCAGGTGAGAGGGGTGGGAATGGGGGCTTCACAAGCCTTGTCCCCGCAGGTCTCTCCTGGTGTCCAGAGACAGAAGCTGCCACTTGTGAGTATGGGGCTGGAGCCAAGGGAAGGCGGGCACTGCCCACAGGTAAGCCACTGTCCCCCAGCCCTGCCCTGACCTCAGCTCTCCTGCAGTTGTGGATCCCAGGCCTCTACTGCTGGCAGAATCTGTGACGCCGGGACAGTCTGTGTCATTGACATGCAAGGCAATTTTGCCGAGCCTCCTTTTCCAGCTGTTGAAGGATGGTGTGTCCCAGAGCACTGTGAAGCTTGATGAACCAGCCTTCAGCCACCAGTTCCTGCTGGGGGAAGTGACAGATGAATCTCGTGGTCTTTATCGCTGCCAGTCTGGATCGTCTGATAGGTGGACTGGGCTGAGCAACCTTGTGGAAATAGCAGGGAAAGGTGAGCTGAGGCATTCAGGAGGGGTGGGTGAAGGTGATGGGCCACACTGCCATTTTCCAGGACCTCTGGAGAACTCGGGAATGATGGGCTGAAGGTTGGGTGCCCTGTCTCCCAGGGAACCTGGGGTGTTTAGGACAGCTGGGGGAAGGCTAATAAAGCCCCCTTCTTCCAGACTCTGTGGCATTCATAAGGGACAGGGGGATGATTGTGGGTGCCTCCCTTGCCTAAGGATCCAGGAGTGTTTCACAGGGGTGAGGGGAGAGTTGGGGCTGATCGTGGTGTCCCCTCTCCCCCCAGGCATGAGGTTTTCAGGAGTGGTGGGTGGTGGGGCAGATTCTCTAGGGCAACCTGGGGCGTTCCGGAGGAATGGGGGTAGGGTTGTGTGTTTTCTATTCTCTCAGGAACCTAGGGTGTACAGGAGGAGTGAAGGGAGGATAATGTGGGCTCCTTCTCCGGGGCTCCTGGGGCATTATGGAAGGATGAGAAGATGATGGGAACCCTTCTCCAAGGGAATCTGGAGTATTGAGGCGCAGTGGGGGAGGTTGGTGCGGCTGCCCTACTCCCAGGGAACCTGGACTCTGGGCCTCAATTTTCTATCTATTGAGTGGGATGATGTTGGTTCTGCTGCAGAAAATGGTATGAAAGAATGTTGAGTTCCTCAAACTGCCTAGGTAACTCTCACACATACTTTGTATCACCCTGCTTTATGTCTGCTCTTTGCCTGTGCCAGCCACCTTTTCACTCGCGCCCTCCTTCCTCGCATTTCCATGAGTGTGTGTGTGTGTGTGTGTGTGTGTGTCCAGGGTCAGCTGGGCTACCCATGTTGGAATTCTGAGTGGAGTGGACTCACTCACCGACCCAGCCCTCCCTCTGCCCCTGCAGGGTACTTGCCTCCTCCTTTGCTGTCGGTGGAACCAGTGTCCTGGCTCATCCCAGGCTTGGAAATGACCCTGCTGTGCCAGGGGACATGGCAAGGTGTGACCTTCTTGCTGAGGCGGGAAGGCGATGACAAGTTTCAGGACATGGCTGAGCCTGATTGGAATGGGAAAGCCACCTTCCCTGTCAACCAGGCGGGCAACTACAGCTGCAGCTACCGGATGCAGGCAGCAGGTCACCTCTCAGAGCCCAGTGAGACTGTGACCATCGAGGAGCTGGGTGAGTGTCTGACACTCTCAGAGGTCACAGGAGGAGGGGCTGCTGGGAGGCAGAGTCTGTTCAGCTCAGCTGCTGCCCCCACTGAGGACCCTCTTCAGGGCCAGTCAGGGTAACAATGGCCACTAAGCTGCTTGGGCCCCAGAGGGCAAAGGAGATGGAAGGAAGAGAGGGAGGGTGAGGGGAATAGGTGGGAGCTGAGCTGACCACAGCTCTGGAAGAGGCTGGGGGTGGGGGGAGGAGGAGGGGGCAGGCTGTAGCAAGTGTCCTTGGCTCCTGGAGACAAGCGACTCTTGTGCCTTGCAGCTGTGCCGCCGCCACCCAAACTGTACATCAGGGACAGGTCAGCTAAGATACCGCACCAAGGTACTTGCGTGGACTTGGAATGTGTCGCGCCTTTGAGTGGCGTGGAATTCGAACTGTGGGGAAGCAAGAAGATTCTGGTCCAATCCATGAGCACCACCAGTCCAGATCGCATCTCCTTCCACCTGAATAGAGTACCGCAGGAGGGAGGAGGTCCCTACAGATGTAGATACCGGCTGGAGGGCAAAATGCACAGCCCCTGGTCTGCGGACAGCGCACCAGTGGAGCTGGTGGTCAGCGACGGTGAGCATAGGCCTGGTGCTTGTGTGCGGGAGGGGTGCGGGTATTGGGAGGGAAGCATTGCGGAGGTGCAGAGTTGGCGGCCTGGACTCCATGTCCCCAACTGCAAATATGGTGCTGTTGATGCTGACAAAGAGTTATTGTGTCAACACACTGGTGTTGGGTCAGCTCGCGGCCTCCTCCACAGGGAAGCTGCCTGCTCCGCAGTTGTGGTCTGAGCCTGCGACTCGGAGTCCAGCGCCAGGCACGCTGGTGAGGCTGCAGTGCCTGGGACCCAGGGCCGGCCTGCGCTTCGCCCTGGTGCATGAGGTCGCAGGAAGGAGCTGGGTGCGCGATTTCCAGAGCCCCGCAGACAACGAGGCCCACTTCGAGCTGCCTGCCGTCTCCGTGGTGGACTCGGGCAACTACAGCTGCGTGTACATGGAGCTGGCGCCGCCTTTTGCAGGCTCTGTGGCCAGCGAGCAGTGGGAGCTGCATGTGGATGGTGAGTGTGCGATGGGGTCGGGATGCTTCTGCTTGCGGGTGAGAGGGGGACCCCTCCTTTCCTTAGGTGCCACAGGGCTGTGGTCCTGGTTACTGCCCTCTTGCCCACATTGTGGCGTCCTGCGTGGAGTGGGGAGGTCGGTGGCTGAGGCTCCTGGGGACACTTCTGACTTGGGCTTCTTTTGGGCCAATTTCCGGAGTTTCCTGCTTACTGTCATCCTGTAGGACAACCTCCCTGAGCCTTCCTTCCCCACGTGGGGCGTGGTGCCTCCAGTTTGCTAGTCAGGCTTACCCTGGGGTGAAGGTCCCACTGCCAGGCCTCTGGGCAGTACTCCCTGTGCTAGTATGTCCATCCTTCCACTCTCACAGCCAGAACCCCCGTGGGCACATCTGGGGCTCCTAGAAAGCTCCGCAGAAGCCTTGGGGAGGGTCTACATGGGGGACTGCTGGGTGACCACAGACAGTGGCCGCAGGAGAAGCTCACCCAGGGTGCCCAGGAGATGTCCTCTGGGTCCAAGGGAATGAAGGTCTAGGTCCCCAGACAGCAGCCATTCAGGTGAAAGCTGAGGGGCTGAGGGCATCACCGGTCACGGATCTGCTTTGTCTAGGACCCCTGCCCAGGCCGCAGCTCCGGCCCATGTGGAGCGGGGCAGTGACCCCAGGCCGCGATGCCTTCCTGCGCTGTGAGGGCTCCTTGCCTGGAGTCACTTTTGAGCTGCTGAAGGATGGTGAGGAGGAGGCCTTGACAAGTCTGCACACGGATGGTGCTTCTGCTGACCTCGTGCTACTCTATGTGGGGCCCCAGCATGCTGGCAACTACAGCTGCCGCTACCGCTCCAGCGGGGAACTCAGCTTTGTGTCAGAGCTCAGCGATCCTGTGGAGCTCCTGGTGGCCGGTGAGCTGGGTTCCAGTCTCCGGCCTTTGCTTAGGCTATGCCTACGCTGGGTGGGGTCCCCTTCACGCAGCCCCTCCTAGCACCCCCACCAGTGTCCTCACCTGCAGCAGGGCCCACCCCTGTCCAAGATGCATTGGACTGGGCTAGAGGGCGTGGTGCTGGGGGCTGTTGGGGGCAGCTCGGGGACCTCAGGGAGGTCGGCTGTGGTTCCCCTGGGAGGGAGCACTGGAACCCCTCTCCCTCATCACTTCTCTTTAGTCACATTTGTCACATTTGTCCAGGAAGTTGATGCGGCTGTGGACTGAGGATGCTGACGGTGGCCCTGACAAGTGCCAGGAGTGCTGACCATCCTGTCCTTGTGCCCATTTGGGGACTGGTAGACTGCCCTCATCATTCCTGGGAATTAATAAAAGTGAACAGACTTCAGAACGTGTCTTTGGCTAGAGGCTCCAGAGCAGGCCCTGAGTCCAGAGGGGTTGGGCTCGCAGGGCTGATGGGAAGTGGGCTGGCATACTGTGTCCTGGCAGTGAATGGGGTCTGCATTGTTTCCCGGGACAAATACTGGCTTCTCAGGTCATAGTTTTTGGGTTTTTTGTTTGTTTTTTAAACCTTATTTTCGTTTGTTGGAAAGTCAGATTCACATAGGGAAGCAGAGATAGAAACATATTCCATATGCTGTTTTACTCCCCAAGTGAATGCACTGGCCAGATCTGATTCAATCCACAGCCAGGAGCCAGGAGCTTCTTCTGGGTCTCCCATGTGTATACGGAGTTCCACTCTTTGTGTTTTGTGCTATCCTCTATTGCTTTCCTAGGTCAGAGCTGGAACCTGGAATGAGAGTGGAGCAGCTGGGCCCGGTGCGATAGCGCAGTGGTTAAAGCCCTCGCCTTGCACGTGCCAGGATCCCATACGGTTGCCAGTTTTAATCCCGGTAGCCCTACTTCCCATCCAGCTCCCTGATTATGGCCTGGGAAAGTAGTTAGGGACGGCCCAAAGCCTTGGAACCCTGCACCTGCGTGGGAGACTTGCAGGAAGAGCTCCTGGCTCCTGGCTTCAGATTGGCTCAGCTCTGGCTGTTGAGGTCACTTGGGGAGTGAACCATTGGACGGAAGATCTTCCTCTCTTTTTGCCCTCCTCTGTATATCGGCCTTTTCAATAAAAATAAATAAATCTTAAAAAAGAAAGAAAGTGGAGCAGCTAGGACTCAAAGCAGCTTCCCTGTGCGATCCTGTTACTTGTATGGTGCAGACTTTTGCCCTTAGGCTATCGTTACAGTGCTGTGTTTCCTTCTTTAAAGGTATGTTTAAGCTTATTTGATGTTCTTAAAGATTTATTTTTATTTTAAAATCAGAGTTACATAGGAGGAGGCACAGAGAGATTTTTCCATCCATTGGTTCACTCTGCAGATCGTCACAATGGCCAAGGCTAGGCCAGGCAGAAGACAGGAGCCAGGAGCTTCTTCCAGGACTCCCATGTGTGTGCATGGGCTTAGGCGCTTGAGCCGTCCTCCTCTCCTGCTGTTCCAGGCTGGAAACAGGGAGCCAGATCAGAAGTAGAACAGCTGGGATTGAACTGGAAGCCATATGGGATGCCAAGTTTACACAGGCGGAGGCTTATCCTGAATGCCACTGTGCTAGCCGTATTTATTATTATTATTATTATTATTTAAAAGCACAGTTACAAAGATAGGAGAATAGACAGAGAATCTTCCATCAGCTGGTTCACTGTCCAAATGGGCACAATGGCCAGTGCTGGGTCAGGCAGAAGCCAGGAGCTTCTTTTGGGTCACCCATGTGAGTGCAGGGGCCCATGCACTTGGGCCACCCTCCGCGTCTTACTGGGGTGTTAGAAGGGAGCTGGATTGGAATTGGAGCAACTGGGACTTGAATCAGCACCTGTATCAGATGCTGGCACTGTGGGTGGGGGTTTAGCCTACTATACCACAATGTGGGCCCTGTAGCCACAGTGTTTAAGGCAGTCTTCTGCTTTTTCTCACCAAGTTATCCCTTCTTCCTAAAACACCTCTGCCAGGTCCCCAGCAGGAATGGGCCAGCAGTTCGAGGCTCTAGACATACCCAGTTGTGCCTGGGTCACACTGCTGTCTGTTGTAGGGGATGTTTGAAGAGAATGCCTTTTGTGGTCTTGTCCTCCTGGTTTGAGAGGGCAGAGGGGAGTGGTGCTGGGCTGTGCCAGGCCTTCCACATCAGAGGCTGGAGCTGTGGACAGGACTGGATCCCTCACCATTCTTCCGTCACTCAACTGACTCCATCTTGCTCACATGACACCCTTATGGACCACTGCCCAGTCCCTGCCAAGCTCACCCTTCTGGTCCTGACCCACAGTATATCATTAGTATTATCAGCGCTTTACAAGAAATCAGTATTCTTCAGGAAATTTACCTTGTTCATTTAGCAGTCTGATTTGCTACTCTATTGTGTTTAATACTCATGGGTTTTTATAAACACGTGCATGGTCTGTAGTGACACGCCTTTTTTTATTCATGATGTGCTCTGTCCTGGCTCCTCCCTCCCTTCTCAACCCCTCACCCTTCTTTCTAGTAGGAGCTTTAGCAACTCCTCAAATCTTTTCAGAGTTAACTAACTGGCCTTGCTCATTTTCTCCCTTTGTCACTTCCCTTTTATTACTGTTTTTCTTCCACTCATTTCACCTTCCAGGATCTTTAGGTAGACACATGTCACTGATGTGGGGGCGAAGTCATTAGTAACAGTTTAATACTTACAGTTAAAACAGACCCATTGGTCTTAATCATAGGGGATTACTTTTTTATGGGTAAAAAAGGTCAAATATTGACAATTTCATTACACTAAACTAAATGAAACTGCCAGTATTTGACCTTCTTAGGATACAACATTTCCTTTAATGTGAATTAATACAAGTCTATTTTTTGTTTTAATATATTTTTTATGTTGAATTCTGGATTAATACAAGCCTATTTTTAAAAGAGATTTAATTTTATTCATTTGGAAGGCAGGGTGACAGAGAGGGAGAAAGAGTTCTTCCATTCCTTGTATGCTCCCCACATGCCACAGCAGCCAGGGCTGGGCCGGGCTGAAGCCAGGAGACTGGCCCTGCTGTGACCTCCCAAGTGCAGTGTGAGGTTGAGGTGAGGAATATGAAGTGTTCAGCAGATAGCAGGTCATGTGGGCCCTCGGCTAGGGCTCCCTTTCCCTCTGGGCTCCTCCCCTTCTAGAATGACAGGGCAACACACATAATGAAGAAAGAACTGGTGGCCACACTGCTCAGAGTGTCAGGGAGGGGCTGGGGGCAGCAGAGAGAGGTGAGACCAGCAGAATGGTCACTTAGGTGAGGGTCTCAAGGCAGATCCATGGAGGATGAGAGTTCTGGAGCTGCCTTTTAGCTCCTACCTCCTCTGTTCCCTGAAGCCCAACATGGCATGGATGACCACCTCTCTGGGAACACGCGTCCCCTATCTCCGAGTTGTCTCTCAAGTCTGCCCCTTCTCCTGGGTCCTCAGACTGCCATCCGGTGCAGGGTTGGATCTGGAGCCCTCGGCCTCAGCTCCCCATTCTGAGGCTTTCTTCTCAGCCACCACAGCTCTGCTCACTTGTGACACAGAGGCAGTGAGTCCAAAACACAGAGGGATACACAGGGAGAAGATGGTGATGGTGACCAGCACAGAATAAACACAGCAGGGTCAGTGGCCCCCAGATGACAGAATCATCAAAGCACCCGAGATGTGAGAACTGACACGCAGGCTGCAGCATCCAGCGGCACACTCAGACCCTCCTGCAGGACCCAGGCAGGTGTCATTTTGAGAGGACGCAAAAGGTCTGCGAGGATTCTCCCGGAAGCCCCTCCAACTGCTCACTGGAGGCCCCTGTCTAGGTCCTAGAGCACCGTACCTCGTGGGACACCATCAGTTGACAGAGTACAGGCATCTACTGCCTGTGGTTCCAGGGACCCTGGAAGAGGATGCTTGACACAGTACACCTTTATTCAGGCCACTGCATGCACACCAGGCTTGTCTGGCACTGGGACTCTTGCCTTGCAGAGTTCACGTCCATATGAAAACAGCCATGTCAACGTATACAAAGTTAATGTGGGTGCAGCATGGTGACCACTTTAGGGGAGGCCCCGGCCACATGTCCTACTGTTGTGGACAACGAGAGCTAGATCAGCGACGGCACCGAGGAGCTCATGGCAGACACTCGGCATGGACACTGTGTAAAACATTGTAGAAGTGCAAGAGGCACATATGTGAGGCACTCGAGAAGCAGGGTGAGATGAGAGGCTGAAGTTTGCTCAAGGAGGTGGGGAAGACTATTTTTTGGGAGGAACCTTTAAAATAGAGGAAAAAGAGAAAGGTTCTAGGCACAGGTACAAAGGCACTTAAGTGGGAAAAGTGTGGCTTTTTTCAGGACACACGTCGCTTCATGTAGCTGGTACATGGAAGGCATGGCTGTGGCAGAAGATGAGGCCACATCACTGCACACACAGGGAAACGCTAACATTCAGGTACGCCTTTGAGAACAACTGGAGAGGATGCTGGGGACCCAATTCAGGAAGGTGACACATGGAAGAGCTTCCTACCTCACAGTGACTCAGCCTGGGGGCAGAGCAGCCTGCGAACAGGTTTGTCCTGAGCATCGCGGGCTTGCGGGGTGCTCACACACACTTCCTCTCCAGCCCTGGCCCTGAGAATCTGTCCAGATCTGCAGCTGGGCTCTTCTCCCTGAGTTGGGCCTGACAGGTCTGCGAGGATTCTCCCGGAAGCCCCCCAGCTGCTCACTGCGGTCCCCATCTAGGTCCTAGAGCACCATACCTCGTGGGACACCATCAGTTGTCCACCCAGTTCTTGGCACTCCCGGAGCTCACTGTGTCTCCCAGGGTCACTTGCAATCACGGCAGCTCTGTGATATGGATCTTGAGGTGTGCCATGAGGGCCGAGCTGCGGCTGAAGGCCTTCCCGCAGTCACTGCACCTGTAAGGCTTCTCTCCTGTGTGGATCCTCTGGTGCTTGATGAGAGAGGAGCTCTGCGTGAAGGCCTTTGGACAAGCCTGACACTGATACGGCTTTTCCCCAGAGTGTATTCTCAGGTGTCGAATGAGAGCGGAGCAGTTGCTGAAGGCTCTCCCACAAGCATCACATTTGTAGGGCTTCTCTCCAGTGTGGATGCGCTGGTGCTGGGTCAGGTGGGTGCTCTGGCTGAAGGTTTTGCCGCACTCATCACATTCATAGGGCCGCTCCCCTGTGTGCACCCGCTGGTGCTGGGTGAGATGTGTGCTGCGGCTGAAGTTTTTGCCACATTCCCCACACTTGTAGGGCTTCTCTCCTGTGTGGATCCTTCGGTGCTGAGTCAAGTGAGTGACACGGCTGAAGGCCTTGCCACAGTCCTTGCACTCATGGGGCTTGGCTCCTGTGTGGACAACACGGTGCTGGGC